GATTTTCTATGTTTTAGGAATTTTAAGAATTAAATAATTTTTAAGAATTAAATGTTTTTTCAATGGTTGTTGTGATTGATTGCTTTTTTAAGGACCAATTATAAAATACTTTAATTTGTAACTAGTAATATTTATTTTATGTTAATTACATAAATTACATCGTATTTATAATAATTTCAATATTGTTTTTGATAACGTATTGATTGATTTGATTTTTTGTATGATTTTCGATTGATGATTTTTTGTTTATATATCAATATAACCGAACACTTTGATATGGCGCGAACATACTCGTATTGCAATTTTAACAAGTGTTCATTTCTCTCATGAGCTTTTACTTATAATTAGAAAATATATACTTCTAAGTAAAAAACTTGTTAAAGAAATAAACACTGCCCAATCAAAGTGCTGCAAAAATAAAGTTGAGGCCTGATTTCAGATATTTTTTGTTTATAATAATGAATTTTTAAAAATATAAAAACGCCTATGACTCAGTGTTTTGATCAGTAGTATACAGATTTTTTTTTATTACATTGTAATATAATTTCTATTATTTGAAAATGTTAATTATACACATCTATTCTAGATGCAATTAGTAGTTTAACATTCTAGTAAAACATGTATGAATAAAAGGATGAATTATTAGGTTCATTTAGAAACCTAATTGGTGATTTGATTGATTAACTTAAACAAAGTGTCATATCACGAGCCCAACTTTGTTTTTGAATAAAATATTCTACCGTCGAAAAAAAAACGCAAACTATATACTTTTTGTTAGTTTTAGGAACTAATTTAAATTTTAATTCTACTAGAAATTAATAAACTTTATTCTGATCAAATGAACTCATCGTATGAGAGTATATTTCTGAAAAAAATTTCAATTCGATTTGGGTACTTTTATATTCTATAATGCGAATAGCAATGATAAATGGAACATCAAAAATATTACGATAATTCATTAAATACTGTTACTAAAGTTTTAGACTCAATAAAATAGTCAATTTTCAATCATTTCGATTTGGGTACTTTTATGTTCTATAATGAGAATATCAATGATTAATGGGGCACCAAGAAGATTACGGTGTTTTATCAAATATTTAATAAAATATTTGATAATATTTTAATAAATATTTTAATTTTAATAAAGATAAAATGATAAATTTTAATTTAATAAAGATAAAATGTTAATAAAATTTTAGACTCAACATCGTCAATTTTTGCTTTTATATTTTACAACCTATCGTTTTATCATCGAATCTCTAGCACATTGAGGAATGTCTAAAATTGTGTCAACATATTAATAAAATAAAAAAATATAAAAATCGCGAAATATTTTGTTTATAAATAGATTACAATAAAGGTTGTGTACGGATGCAGTGGTCAGAGTTATTGCGATGAACTTGTTGCATCGACCTCCCAAGAATTCGCTAACTACTCGGCGCCGATGTTTTGGCTTGCAAACACCCGGTAGACAAGTCGTAAAAACATTTAAACATATTCGCAAAAAAATCCTTTTTAGTCATTTAAAAATACAAGTTGTTCTAATTTCAATCTTGCCAATGTCTATTTTGAAATTTTGTGAGAATTATTTTAATACCAAATATACCTAAAATAGTTGCAATTATGGTAAGATTCTTTTACATAAGTATGTCTTTATATAATATAAGTAACGTCTTCATAAAAGCCCTATGTACAGATTTGCAAACATTTGATAAATCCAAAATGGAAAATCGGTTCTAAACCAAACTAGGTTCCTATAATTTATATGGGAAACAGTTCAATAGTTTCAGCAATGCATATTTAGATTTTCAAGGTAAATTATCTTATCTGCTTTATTAATTTTAACTACGACTAATTATACATATCGATGTAAATAATAAAAACGTACAATAGTTCCACATGGTTTCCAAATTTTTTTGTTTTATTTTTAACTTCCCGTAAGGTGATTTATTGTAATGCGCCGAAAATCGAAATTGAAAATTTTTACATTTCGCGACGTTTTGAAGGTTTCTGAACATGTTGGCATACCTCAGAAAAAATGGATATGTGTTTGTGTGTGTATGTATGTATGGATATAATTTTTCGTCCACGTTTTCGGGCGCACGGATCAACCGATTTGAATGGTTCAAAAAACATTCGATTCCTATTGATAGGGAGATGTGCTGATTAGTTTTTGGCAAAGGCAGGTCCAGCCGTTACGGTACAGAAAATAGAAATCGAGTTTTTGAGTGAACGGAGTATCTGATTTGAATGATCTAAAAAACATTCAATTAGTAATGATTGGGAAAAGTGATTATTAGTTTTTTGGCAACAGAGCTAAATGTGCAAAAAATGGCAGTTTTTGAGAGAAATAAGCGTCCGATTTTAATGATTCAAAGAACTTTCAGCTTGTTTAAACAAAATAATTGATTTTGAAAAAAAAATCATCACATTTTTTTTTTTAGTTTTTTTGCATATCGAAAATAATTCAGATTTCATTTTTAATTCTGACTAAAGTTCTAATATACAATAGTTGTATATAATAATCTAGTTGAAAACATTCAGTATTCCTCGAACATTTCGTTACGGTACGGGAAGTTCCAGCAATTTGCCTTAAGGTACGATGCCATACACCCCACTAGTTTTTCATTAAATTACAATTGTTGGATTGTAGTTTTATTTTAATTTATAGAATTTATATTCATTTACTGATTAATAAAAAATATCTATGTAGGGTATATTTATCATACATTAATATAAACTGACTTGAGAAATATCTATACTTTTTATTCTTTATCTATAAAATATAATTTCTAACATAAATTATTTACATAAGTACATCCTTTAAATTATTTGTTGTTACACACATTCAATCAATAGAAGTAATATCATTTAATCGCATTCAATTAAATTCCGTATGAAATTCTGTGAAACTATTTCATTTAAGTATTTGAGACTTTTGTATATGTAATGAATTCATATACAAATTTATTTTATTTATTTACTCATTAATTTATTTATTTATTCAACGCCGAAGGCAAATTAAAATAATAAAACTAGTGGGGTGGGTGGCATCGTGCCTTAAGGCAAATTGCTGGAACTTCCCGTACCGTAACCAAATGTTCGAGGAATATTGAATGTTTTCAAATAGATTATTATAAATATTGTAACATTGTCTAATATTTATAAGAATTATATAAACTGAATTGCAGAGTTGAAATTATTTGTTTAAAGTATATTAGAACTATAGTCAGAATTAAAAATAAAATCTGAATTATTTTCGATATACAAAAAAATTAAAAAATTAAAAAAAAAAAAAAAAAAATGGTACAAAATTTTTTTTTCCAAAATCAATTATTTTGTTAAGACAAGCAGAAAGTTCTTTGAATCAATTGAATCGGACGCTTAATTCTCTCAAAAACTGCCATTTTTTGTACATTGAGCTCTGTATCTCCGAAATGGCTGGGCCTGCCTTTGCGAAAAACTAATAACCCCTTCTCCCAATCATTACTAATTGAATGTTTTTTAGATCATTCAAATCGGATGCTCTGTTCTCTCAAAAACTCGATTTCTATTTTCTGCACTCTTTGCTCCTTATCTCCGTAACTGCTGGACCTGCCTTTGCCAAAAACTAATCAGCTCTTCTCCTTATCAATAGGAATCGAATGTTTATTAAATTATTCAAATCGGTTAATCCGTACGCCCGAAAACGTGGGCGAAAATTTGTATCCATACATACATACACACACACACACACACACACACACACATCCATTTTTTCTGAGGTATGCCAAAACGTTCAGAAACCTTCAAAACGTCGAGAAATGTAAAAATTTTCAATTCCGATTTTCGGCCCATTACAATAACTTACCCTACGGGAAGTTAATAAATAAAGCAAAAGTTATAGCCATTATAATAACCATTCTATCATTTAATTAATATATAATGCTAATATATTAAATTGTATCTAATGACATACTTAATGAAAAAATAACTATAAATAGTAAGATTTTCAAAATATTTATTTTTAATAACCCACGCCCACGCGAATCAGTTTTTGCGATTCATTGTTTATTTGATAGTTTCACAAATATTATAACGAAGGTCAAAAAATGTCACATATGAAAATAAGGATGTTTGTGTTAATTTCTTGCAAGTGCGGAAGATAGTTGCTTTCCAAACCGCATTCACATCCGATTAGTAATTTCAATATTGTTTAAGTATTCGTCATGTTACTGAGAAAGACTCAGAATAAAGCAGAAATAATATATCAGACAGAGAGATTCCGTTGCGAAAATTATTTTTAGCCCAAACATTTATTTTGAAATTAGTGGCGTGATTGTAACCAGATTAAAGTAGGATGTAATATATATCCATTATCTAAATTCAGTAATACTGTACAAATTTAGCATAGCCTATTACGCTATTAGGTGCAGGTTTGGGGTGTAAATGGAAGACATAGCGAAATGCAGATTTAGAAATGGAAGTTATGATAATTATTAAAAAATTGTCTTCCGACGTGTTTTTGATAGAAGTCCAGTACATACGCATTTGAAATACTTGAAATACAAAAATTTAATATGGAAATTGTTGTCTGAGCAGGTCTTCTAAATAGCATTATTTTTCGAATTTAGATTTGACTTCAATTTTTAAATTTGAATATTATCTTTATGAATCGAATCAAAACAATACATAGAATTAGAAAAATATGTTTTTAATTTTTTTTATATAAGTAAAGCATTAAGTAATGATCATGTTATAAAAAATATTGTTTAATATTTATCAAATAGTTAATTAATTTTGATTCAATTTTCAATTTCTTGAATTTCGATAAAATATCTAATGAGAACAGGTAACATAAAGCAGTTAATAAAATTGCTTAATGATGAATATTTATATTCAGCACTAATTTATATATATTTAAATTCAAATATATTCTTGTTTATCTATGAATTTCACATAATTTATAATATCATAAATTTAAATTGAAAATCTAATTATAAGAAAGTTTTAAGTCTTACCGTGATTTGTCGTGGAATATGCTCCAGTGTATGAAAATGGGTCCATCATAGGTGGTGTGTGATGTCCAGTAGGCATAGTGGATGTCGCAGAAATATTATGCTGATCTTGTTGCGGAATTGGACTGGTTGACTGTTTCACAAACGTGGTATCCATTGAAAAAGGCGTACTCGTCCAGGAATCTGCTGTTTGCCCGTAAGCATGGCTTTGATAATCATTATAAGGCTGATACATTTGCTGAGGATAGCCCCCACAATTTTGATAGTCCTGACCGACGGCAGTTGCGGCTGACACTAAACTTTGATCATAAGGTGGAGCGGTATAAAATCCACTTGGTGTTAAATGTGGATGAGAATACTGAGGCTTCATTTGACATTTTCGTCTAAATCCTCGCGGTCTTCTCCTATAGCTACCTTCCTCGAACATATGTTCACTACGTTCATCTATCATCCAATAATGGCCTTTACCTGGTCTTCCTAAGCCTTTAGGAAGCTTTATGAAACATTCATTTAAACTTAAGTTATGTCGAACTGAGTTCTTCCAACCGTTGTAAGTACCTCGAAAGAATGGAAATCGTTGCTGAAGGAATTGATAAATTTCACTCAAAGTTAACCTTTTAGTTGGACTACTCTGGATAGCCATGACAATTAATGCTATATAGGAGTATGGCGGTTTCTCTTGTCTTCTTGCTCCCGAAGCAGCATTCTTTTTAGGCTGTTGTTGTACCGTCGTATCAGCCGCCGCGGATGACGGTTTCTCCTGACAAACGTTCAAATGTTGACTCATTTGTTGAGCTAATTGGTTAACACCGGTAGCAGAATTTGTCATTAAATCTTGCGTTGTTTCTTGTTTCATCATTTTTCACAAAATAACTGAATCACTCAGAAAAGTTTTTAGCAACAAAAAATCTTAATATTTTATTCACATACGAAAAAAAAACATTTATGTAAACAAGCCCGATGTGTGGGACCAAAACGTGCCGGGTTCGCTTGAAGACTGCTCTGATTTTTTACGCGTGTTTCATTACGCGACTTGGCGCCCCTCTTGACGAAGGAATTCGTCCCGCAAAAGCACACAGAAGGCGGCGCGAATACCGAACATCGACCAATAAAAGCTCTATGCTTCGTGAAATGGATCGTGGTATCCTAAGATTTAATAAACAGGGACGAATTTTCATTAAGCATTTTATATATAAGGTGTATCGAAACCCAATACAGATTTATATGCTTAATTAGGAACAATAATTAAGTACTTTTATTATCGCTGTGTCATAAATTGTATTTGTATAAACTGCATTTGAATAGCTTGTACTTGTTTTTTGTTGAAATTAATTTTAATACAAGCTTTATCACGTACATTTTAATTTAAACTATTGTGTTGTTTTATGTGATTTTTTTTCTGAAATCATATTGACATTCACTTAACACATAACAATTATTAAATAATTGTTTAAATATCTCATAAAATCATTTCATTCTATTAAAAGATAAACAAATTTAAAAAGGCGATATATCATGATAGATTAATATTATGTAATTATTACAATTTTATTTTTCGAGATCTAAATAAAAATGTTTGTTTTATTATACATATTTGTTTTAAAAAGTAATAAGTAATAATTTAGTTATATATTTTCTAATACAATCGTCACGACAATAAATGTACTTGAATATTTGATCGCTTTCTGCTGGTCTCTTATTTTATAGGCTAATTTTTCGGTAAATAATGTATTTTCATAATAGTTTTACCTTCTTCGGTGGTGTAGATTCATTTATAAAATTATAAAAATATTTCAAAAGTTTTTTTTACCGGCGCTTACGCCAGATACTTTATTGATTATTCATATACAAATGAATTTGAAATTAAAGTAGACTTTATCAATAATTAATAAAATATTAATAATAATTAAAGAAAAGTAAAAAGTAACTTCAAACCTAAAAGTTATTTTATAAATGCATTTTAAACAGTAACAGTTGAGATTTGTCGCAAAACTTTTAAGCCCTAAATCTATTGCTGCGTTGGCGTTACTAACCAAATATTGTTTCATTTATTTATAACATTTCGGTTTCATATCTCTTTAATCATTTTTTTTCTGTGAATAAAAATAATTTCTTAGAGTTTTTCATATACGGCTCTGTTTGAATTTGTAGGTGGAGCCAAAATCTCATTAGCATCTCAGTTTCTAAGTTCACAAGATTACTCGCACATGTTTCCTGTAAAGCGAACACAAGCAAATAACAAATGCTTGTCTGAGCTCTATCAACTTATTATGTGCTTAATTGATTTAATTGAACATCTAACAACAAATTAAGGATTTATTTTAAAATGTTTCAAAATTGTATTTACTTACATCTTTTGTTTATAATTTGAAAGCCTTTACAATAAGTTTTTATTACTCCATTCCACATAAGATATACTATTTCATATTTCAATTTGAATATGTAGTTCCAACCAGTGCAATTTTTGATAATTTTGATAGGTTACCACCATAGTTTTGTATTCTAATTAAAATGTACATATAGATAAACTTTATTGTTAAAAATTTTATATAGATAGTTTAAATTATACTGACATGATGGTACAAAAAATATATATTAGTTTTCTTTAAAGTTATTGTAATATATTTCGAAAATTGAATATCTAAGTATCAGTATCAACTTCGCCTAAAATTTATCGTTTAACCTTTGTGATTTTTTTGTTTTATAATTAATCAGTTATTTTTATTTCTCAAATATTACTATAGTTCTTCAGCAAGCAGTAACATTACTATAAATTTGTAAATTATTTTTGGTAAACAAGGGTTTTTACAAGAAATATGATACTAAATTCACAAGTTACTAAAAAAGTCTAGTGTTTTGAGTACTCGTAACATAAATTATATTACGGAAATTCACAAAGGTTTTGAGTTTGAGTATAGTGCGAAAATTTTAAATTTCTTAGCAAAGATTAAATTAATTTAATGTCAAATGATTTTGAATAGTAAAGCACTAAAGAAATCTTATTCTATACTATTCAAACGAGCTTATGAATAATCTTATTTATTAAACAATTAAATGATTATTATATTTATATTAGAAAATAAAAATAAATAAAACGTTTTATTCACTTGTAGAGAATGAAGCAACTATTTAAATTTCAAAATGAAATTGTACCATGCTCTCTACTTAAAATACTAAATGTAGAAATGATCAGAAGCCCAGTCGTAAAATTTTACAATGTGCTAAAATACTTGTAGTTTAGTACTTAAATGTCAACAGTTTCTTGTTTTATGTGTTTTCCAAAATTTTCACTTTTCTGATATGCGGGTGTTGATATGGTCACAAAATTTTATGATTCTCTACTTGAAATAAAATCTATTCAACGTTGAACAAGTGTGACACTGAAAACGTAAATATTAGTTTTATTGCTTTTGGTAAGATATCCGTCCGCTTGTTTGACTATTTTCAGGAACTCTGTAAATATGTGTAAATTTTGTGATTTAGGTTGTGATTGAAGTCGAGATTCACTCTTTTCGACATTTTTAGCACTTTCGAGTTGTTGATTAAATGTGTGCTTATATGCTAAAATAATGAATATTAGCTATTATAATTTTATTATTAAAGTTCTGCAGATATAAATTTTTTGCACCTTAAATAACAGTATTTTATGTACATGTACAAGGAATAGTATGAAGCTCAATTAATATGCTTAGGCTTTCAAATTTCTGCGAAATTTTATTATCGATTATTTGATTAAAATTTTAATTAAATTGAATTCACAAAATTTTTTCTACTGTTTCTTAATATTGTTTTTACGACTTCCATATATTCCCAAAAACGTTGGAATACTCTTTCGAAACGCTTTGGGATTGGGAAACAGTCATTATAGGTGCTTGATATAAGGCCGTTGGTGGTTGGCATCGAATCTGGATACTAAAAGGTCACAGCTCTTATCCAAAAAAATAATATTTCATAATTTTGTACATAAATGCGACCAGAAAATAAATCATATGTAAGCGATTAGATGTTGCCAATAAATGTACTTACTAAACGGATGCATATCATTTTTCATAATCTGTAGTTTATCCTTTTTCCTATAACTTTGTGAATCATTAAATGAGCTCAATGCCCTTTGGTTTTGCTTAAATAATTAAATAATGAATTCATTTTATGCCGTATTTGCGGTCATAGTACGTGGCAGTAGATCTCGGACATTGTAAATAAATTCGTGAGGTTTGTGTATTTCTGTTTATGAAAACCATTTTATAGCTTTTCAAATACATCACATCATCCCGCCGATGTAACTTCTTCTTGGGCAAGGTCAGTTCTGTGACGAAATTTAAACAAATTCTGACGCTTGTAAACAATTTATAATAAGATTTCGGTTTTTTTACAACGTGTTAATGACAAATATAAAAAAGAAAATTTTGAAAACGATCTACACTACAGTTGTTTAGAGTTGTTGTAATATGTTTACTTGATATGTAATATAATATGTAAACGCATTAATCACTCATATAAAATCATACGGAATGTATTCGGCTATTATGTTATATAATGTGCATTATTTACACTCGGGATAAATATTTATAAGGCGGTGCTTAAACTGGCGGTATCCGTAGAAACTCAAAATAAATACTTACCTCAATAGTAAATAAATGACTGAATTGTATATTTTCTTATTTGTGTGATGAATACATGCGACTTATGTATGATTGTTATAAATATTTTTATTAATTTTATTACTGTAAGTGTGATCTTTAAATGTAGATGATGGTTCAAATGATTCTGAAAGGATTTTCAGTCAGAATGTTGATTTATTGAATTTGGGCTTTTTTATTGGATTTCAGTATGACATACATTTTCACTTATAAAATTAATTAAAACATTATTATCAAAATACATGTTAAAATAAATTTATATTTTTACTTGATAACTAGCATAACAAGAATATATTTTATATGATAATTTAGATGATAAGGGTTTTAAGTAAATAATTGATAATGGTTTTCGATGAATTATTTTCATACTAATGTTAACGTTTTTATGTCTAAAAAAGTGATTCATTGAATACAGACTACAAAGCCAGACAGAGTTTCGAGATTAATTGCGAGATTTTAGACTAGATGTCTGCATACAAAAGAATTATAGTAGAATTATTTATGGTAAATGATCTGAAAAATATCAGCAAATATAATATGTAATTATATTGTATTATAATAATTTGTGCATGTTACTCAATTCGTGATAGTGTGTAGCTGCGAACCTATTTAAGTTTAGTTGGAAATGTAGAGAAAACTTATTCCCGGCAGAAGTAAATTAATAAATTAAATGCGTACTATTCATTAATGAAATATTTATGCTTGCATTGTCATTCATAATTTTTCCATCTATTAAAAAACTCATTTTAGAAAATTTAAAAAGCTTTCCAATATAATATCAAAAATTGATCTTAGAACTTAAAATCCAACATGCTAACGTCTTTAACTTGTTTAGTTTTATTTAGTGCAGTTCAGGAATTTATCCTTTTCGTGATTTTTTTATGTTAAATGCGATTTCTACAAAAAGAAAAAATCAGCGCAAATGCGTTAATTGCTTTATTACCTCAAATGCAGTGAACTTTTTTAATTGTGTTTAATATTTGTTTATAATAACTGATATGTATTATGTATTTGTATTGTAACTTTCACAATGTTGAGTAAAAATAAGTTCTCAATTCAAAATATATTAAAATAGATACGTTCATTTAGAATCGATTTGCTTTACTTTATATTTTACTCGTAGTTCTTAGTATTTTGAAGAAACGATACAAATAGAACTCCATTGAGTCTCCTTGAAATTCCAAAGGAATTTTCGCAATTAGCACGAAGAGTCTTGCGC